AGGATATCCTTGTGTACTGGTTTCTGACAATGGAACACATTTCAAGAACCAGGAAATGAGCGAGTTTACCGAGAAACACAGGATCAAACATCTGTTTATTCCAATCTACAGCCCTAAGACAAACGGGATTGTTGAAAGGTTTAACGGAACATTCAAGAAAGCGCTGAAAAAGATGCGGGAAACTAATAGGGATTTGGACGAATGTTTAGCAGAGTTTCTAATCTCCTACAGGAACTGCCCTCATACGGTGACAAATACCCCACCCGCAGTTCTAATGTACGGTAGAACATTACGTTCTAACCTGCACGCATTAAAGCCATCGGATCAACAGAAATTGAAATCTTTACACCCCGACAAGGAACAGAAACTTCTAAATGAAAAGAGAAGTTCTGATATTTCGAATAGAGAGAATGTAAACAGTACACCAGTTAATGTTGATAATCGTAATGTGACAGATGATATTATACCGTTACGTGTTAGTCTTCGATCTAAGCCGAAAGTTGATTATAAGTTACTTGCTGGTTTCAAGAAAACAGCATGATGAACTTGAGAGTTGTTTTTAAAATATTTAGTCCAGTATGATAATTGTTCACTGGCAGTGAAATAATTGTTTTTGATGATTTGGTATTTACTTTATGTTGAGCGCGGAATTATTTTCAGAATACAGACTAGCCAGTTAGTAATCTTTTGTACGTGCGCGGCTTATTTTAATATATAATTTAACACGAGGTAAATGAACACGAGGTATATAATTTAATCTTTGTTGTTTATGTCAAGTGGTTTGAAAATAGAAGGGGAGGTGTTATATATGGTAATTTATTGTGTATTATTATGTAACTTATTTACTAATGTATATATTCCTTAGTCTCCTATGACCATAGTTGGTACAAGAATCAGTGGGTTTCATTTGTCAGATACAGTATATAAAAACTTTAAGTCACCCCGGTCTGATCCAGCTCTTCCGGCACAATTAAGCGTTTGGTGCGGTTTGCGAAATTGACAATCGTGGTGATGTGTTGGTTGTGGAATATGTCATTGACAGAGGGGTAGTAGTCCTGGAAATATTGACCTCTAATTTGGGCAATAGCCGGACATTGTCCAAGGAAGTGTGAGACAGTTTCCTCTCCGTCGCCGCACATAGGACAAGCACTGGTGTTTGATTTGCAAATGGTGTGAAGGTGTTTGTTTAAGCCGCAGGTATCCGTGATGAAGTGAACTGCAGTTCTGTAATCTTGTCTGTTGTTGCTGAGTGTAGTGTTGAGGTTTTTTATGATGTTGACGTGCTTGTGGCCGAGTGTCAGTTTGGTGTGTCTGGGACCATCAGTTGACCAAGTTTCCTGATTCCAGATTCAGTCTGTTGACTTTGTTGTCGAGTTGTCGATTTGACGTTTGATGTAGGATTGTGGAATTGGACACTTCAAAGTGGATTCACTGATTGTACCAAGCTTGGCCAGCCCACTTCTTTTTCGTGCCCCCACAATCCGATGTGTGCTGCAATCCATCGTATCTCTAGTGTGTTGTTGGATCCAAGTGCATTAAGAGAGTCGTAACAGTCTCTTGTAGTTCTACTCCGCGTTGAATGCGCACAATTAGCTTGTATAGATGATAGACTGTCAGACCATATGATGATATGTGTGTTGGTATAGGTAGAGAGATATTTGCAAGCTTACATGATGGCGGCGGTGAGCCCTGTTTGGTAAACAGTGCAATAATCAGGGAGCTTGAATGATCTTTCTTCAAGGGTGGTGTTATATTGTTGTCAGTTGTGATGATATAGCCAGCCCCGCTACCTGAGTCTGTGAGTGACCCGTCAGTGTAGTAGGTGATCGTTTCACTGGTAATGTTGTCAATGGTGTTTTGAAGTGAATTTTTATATTCAGTGTTATATCAGCTCCAGGAGTTGTGACGGTGAAGTGCCGTCCCAGCATCATGGTTGGTGTTGTTAGGTCTCTCGTTGCTCTAGGTGGGATAATGAGATCTGCCATGAATTGTTTGTTGATAGTGGTATGATTTTTGATAGTTCCCTTCCTGAAGGCGATAGTTTCAAGAGTGAGGCTGCCGTAAGCTTGCAGCCTGGCTGCACCCTTTGCTGCATGTTTAGGGCATATGACAATAATTTATTTACGTATAGATGTAAAAATTAACCCCGTTTGTGCGAGTAAAATTACCTAAAAAATAACGAACACGTTTGTCCCATTTTCTTAAAATGACATCGATGTGACTTACTGCCTTTTCTCAGGGAACGGCAGCAATTTTGAAAGCTAAATCCGAATAACCCCACATGACATTGACACAGCTACAGGGTTATCATTTTGTATTTTTCACTTGATTATAATCAATATTCAATCAGAATGTGTATGTTGAAACAGTCTAAATTGTGAAATATGCTCATATAGTTGCTTCGCTTTTCGTGATAACAACTGCATTTCATCAATAGTGCCTTCATATCAGGTAATGCGTTTTACAACTACAATGTACTTGGCCTCAAAACAGCGTGAAAAATGAAAGCAAAACTGTATGAAATTTTTAGGATATGTAGCATCAAGCAAAAAAGTAAAAATAAGCGAATTTTTTTATGTTTCTTAAGTTACATCTCTGCTACAAAAATTTAAAAAAGTGTTCTATAATATTTTTTCAGGAAAAGACAAGATGTGAAATGCAGTGCACAGGAATTGTAATCGTTTTACTTGTTTTTAGATTTAAAGTTGCAGTAGGATGGAAAACAGTTTCCGGACACAGTACTTTTGATGTCGACTTTGACTTATATGACCTAGAGATGAAAGTGTCAGGAGTTAGGCAGTTTGATATCCACGGTAGCAATGTTCCTACCCACATGGAATTCAATACTGACAGTTATAGCTCAACATTTCAATTTCAAAAGCCGTGTTATACTGAACAAATATCGAATGTTCCAGTACCAGCTTCCAACCAAAGAGTTTGGAGAATGCAAAAGACTTCAAGTGAACTTTTTTTATATTGTGATGAGATTCTAGTTGGAAGTTTTAGCAGGTCACAGTCATTTAGCTGCTTATCTGATTATCAGTGGAACAATTTTGGACAGGACTTTTACTTTTTTGATGATGCAGTGACACATGTACTAACCCTTCTCCGGCTCATGGAGGAAGCAGTTGTTCTGTACGGACATTAATTGAACGGACTTTATTTGAACGGACATTATAAGGTGAACGCTAGGGCCTCCAGCGTTCAAGTAATGTCCGTCCAAATAAGGTCCGATAAGGTAGGCTAATAGTAATCACCCAAAACAAAAGATCTGAAAGTGAAGGCCTGGAAACTTTGGATTACTTTTGTGTGCAGCTGTTTCAGCAGCAACATATTTCGGCATGAAACTGTAGCCTTTAACATGATGTTTAAATTATGCTACCAGTCAAATGTCAACATCTTAACCGACCAAATTATAGCCGATAAGGCGATTTTAAAATTTCAACGTTCATATTTATCACATACGTCCTGTAAGTGTATTCTTATAATGCTTAAGTAAATCTAATTTTAGAAATAGAATGTTTCGGCACCTTCTGACAGCTCTGCTTCTCCAATTCCAGCAACTTGCCCGGCATACTGTAGCAGCACAATCACTTCAATTTGGTACCACATTCGGTGATCATGTGAAGTTTTATCCTGACATGAGCCGACTCAAATACGCTCTGACTGTATGCTCATGGGTTAGGAAACAGCAAACTGGGACATACAGATCCTGGATAACCTACACAACACGTACTCATGGGTACGAAATCCTCATATCTGACGCTGGAAGCTATAACTACATCCACCACAACTCTCACAGTGTGTCTGTTAATGTGCCGCTAAACACTTGGACCCATCAATGTCAGAGTTGGTCAACAAGCTCTGCAACACTAAAGGTATACTACAACGGAATTCTGGTTGGGTCGAAAATAGTTTCTTCAGCTCCATTAGAAGAGGAGGGCTACATTCTTCTAGGACACGATAGTGGCAGCTTAAGTAGTTATGAAATATTTGGAGGACAGTTGATGAAGTTGAACATATTTGGAAGGGAGCTAAGCGGGACAGAAGTTGCAGAGATGTATCAGGGTGGTAGATGTTCTGAAGTGGAATATAAATTTGATGATGTCAGGTTCATCACCTGGGAAAGTATTCTAAGTAAGTCCAGAACTGGTAACGTGGTGGAGGTTAACTCTGGTTGTGCTCGTAAACCAGGTAATTTAAATACATGAAGTCGTATTCATAATTTGGTATTCTTGAATACCAAATTTTTTAATGGATAACAACTACCTTTTGTTTAGCAATTTAATTTATTGCTAGTTAGTCGATAATTTTGCAGATATATCTCCGGCTGTAAAGTGTAAAGGTCACAGAAGGTTCCGGTTTTAACTAGGATGTTTATCTTTTTATGACTATGAGGAATTAATTTTCTACGGCTACATTTTTGTAAAATTATCATTATTAGGCCACGATAAAAAAAAACAAAGGTTGATAAAATTTTGTAATCTGTAACTGATCTTACCCTAAACGTTGTCAGTAGTATGAAACCTTGAAATGGTTATAGTGTCCATGGCTAAATCAAAACTCACCCGGATAAATATAGAATGGAATGATCCACCAGCTATTTCTATTTTTCAGTGAACGGAGGTTGGAGTTCGTACGGATCATGGAGCTTATGCTCAAAGGCTTGCGGAGAGGGAACGAAAACAAGAAGCAGAACTTGTACAAATCCTTCTCCTGCACACGGTGGTGCTAGTTGTTCGGGAACATCTTCGGAGTCTCAGAGTTGCAACACTCAAAGCTGTCCAGGTAATTCAATCAGTTTTATTTGTTTTAACGAGATCGGGTCTGTTAATAAAATAGTAGCTCTGTTAAATAATTTATTGATCATATCCTCATTTTAAAAAAGAAAAGCGCTGAACCTGTCAGCCCAAAAATATCTTTTGCACAACCAGTCCATTCAAAGTGGGCTGTGTCATCAACTGTTTGTTTCTTTTCTAAGTGTAGTTTTCATTCAAAATTGTTTAGCTGAAACATGACAGTGACTGTAAGAAAGATATTGTGATTTATTGACCCAAAATTTCTATTCAGTAAACGGAGGTTGGAGTTCATACAGCTCATGGTCTTCTTGCTCAAAATCTTGTGGAACAGGAACCCGAACAAGAAGCAAAACTTGTACTAACCCTTCTCCAGCTCATGGAGGAAGCAGTTGTTCGGGAGAATCTTCAGAGAGTCAGAGTTGCAACACTCACAACTGTCCAGGTAATTCGATCAGTTTTTATTTGTTTTAACGAGATCGGTCTGTTAATAAAATAGTAGCTCTGTTAAATGTTTTATTGATCATATCCTCATTTTATCAAAAAACATAAGCGCTAAACCTGTCCTAGATATATTTTGCACAACCAGTCCATTCAAAGTGGGCTGTGTCATCAACGGTTTGTTTCTTTTCTAAGTAAAGTTTTCATTTAAATTGTTTAGCTGAAACACGACAGTCACTGTAAGAAAGATATTGTGATTTAATGACCCAAACATTCTATTCAGTAAACGGAGGTTGGAGTTTATACAGCTCATGGTCTTCTTGCTCAAGATCTTGTGGAACAGGAACAAAATCAAGAAGCAAAACATGTACAAATCCTTCTCCTGTTCACGGAGGTGCTAGTTGTTCGGGAACATCTTCGGAATCTTTGAGTTGCAACACCCATAGCTGTCCAGGTAATTCGATCAATTTTTATTAGTTTTGACGAAATCAGTCTGTATTATTAAATAGTAGCAGGCCTGTTTAATAGTTTAATTTCTAAATGTTTGATTAATGTCAAAAAAATTGTTTTAAAGTAGTTTATAGTCACAAATAAAGTGTAAACTGTAAAGTATAATTTGCAGTAGGCGCTGTTTCTTGAAGTCTTGTCTAGGTGTAAATAAATGCTGTGATCGGTGATTCGTGATACGGATCCTTGAAGGACACCTATGCTGATGAGGATTTATTACTAGAATAAGTTAATTCTCACCAAGTTAATTTCAGGTTATTGTTCCAGCTCCGGAGATCCTCACTACAGGTCGTTTGACGGAAAATACTATGATTTTCATGGAAAATGTACTTACCAGGCAGCCAGCTGTGGCGACTTTGTTGTAAGTTTTATTGTTTAGCTTCTTCTTTATCATTGAATTGTGATTAGGTACAATTGTGGTCAGTAAATGTGCTTTAAATGTTTCTTTATAAAACATTCAAGCATAGTATTATGCGATCCCAATATCCCTTTTGATCTGCTCACACCCGAATTTCATGTTATAATTTATTGAGATACTGCAACAAATTGTGAAGATAACAAACTGCAACATTTGTTATCACAATTCTTATTTCAGGTAAATTTCAAGAACGTTGATCTTCATAATCGAGCACCAAGATACACGGAACAAATTAAGTTGATTTTCAAGGGAACCAAGTTTTCCATTGAGAGGGGTTGGCAGTCAAAGGTCGATGATATCGCAGTGAGTAATTTAAAATCTTTTACAATTTTCTACATAATATGTCAAATGCTATAGTGTCAAATCAAATATTGTGGGCTGCCACTTAGTACCAAAATATTATTAATCAAGACTTTCGTACAAAATTCAAAATTGTGAATAACAGGCTTTCCCAAATCTCATAATATATTAATCTGCAAATGATAAACTTACCAGGTTCAAATTCCCTACATTAAACATTATAACAACGGAGATACGGTTGAAATCATCAACAATGGTCAACTTGAAATAAGGCTGCACAACAAGGACAGAAACCCGTCCGTGCGGCTGCGTGCTACCAACGGTGGTTCTTATATCAACGCTGAAATGTGGCTCCACGAATCTTGTGCAAACACAACGGAGGGTATGTGTGGGAACTGGAACGGGGACCCTAACGATGATCTGACGGGAGGAAGTGCAAACAGCTTGGGAATAATGCACCAGGAGTCTGATGAGAACTGTCCTGCTCCTCCTCCCGAACTAGATGTTTGCACGGAAAACGGGAACCTGCACAACGAAGCTGAGGCTTTATGTTCTGCTCTCCTGAGTAAGCAATTATAATTTTCATAAAATTCACTGGACAAGGTATTAGGACAGTGAATTGTGTCTTAATCTCTGATAATATTCCCGAACTTAAGAACTGGACCTGTTTAACCCGATTACAGTTCAGAGAACAACTAATTAAACCAATCTCTCCTAGATGACCCGTTCAAGCAATGTAATGACGCAGTACCGGTTGGAGATAGAAACGGTGGTCCCATGAAGGACTGTATGATGGACGTGTGTCAATGTCATTTGGAAAAAGTTAGAGCACATTGATGCATTAATCGAATTCGTTTTAAGCTGTATACTTTTAGCCAAGCAAAGTACCCGGCAGTTGTTTTGACTTAAAGAATCAAATAGTCTCAATATGTTGTGTTGGTGGCATGATTCTGTCCAATATTCCTTCTATATCCATACTAAAACACTTCCAGATTTACCTGTAATGATCTTTCTTCAGGCGTGTGCTTGTCCTCAATTTGACGTGTACGCCACGCAATGTCAAAATAACGGCTTTGATGCCGCCCATTGGAGAGAAAATGTAGCATTCTGTCGTAAGTTATTATTGAAAACCAGACGATGATATATTTGCAATGAAAAGTAATTTCTAAGTTCCAAAACCTTTTTTTTTCAAAAATCTTTTTCAAAAATTCAGGGAAAATATGCTGTTAAATGTTCCGGTTGAACTTATTTATTCCGACATAATATTATGACGGGGCCTGGAACTGGGCCTATTTCTGGAATTAGATATCTTCAAAAACTGAACTGACTCTTATCTTTCCCTCAGCGTACGACTGTCCTGAACCAACAGTGTACCTACCTGACGGAGCCACCCCAGTACCAACTTGCCTCAACAGGGACCCGTCGAAGACCGGGACTGTTGCAGGGTGTTTCTGTCCAGAAGGCCAGTTCCTACAGGATGGACTTTGTGTGGAAGCTAGTGGGTGCAAGTGTCTCTACGAGGGACATATATACGATGTGAGTGACTATGACGACATTCAGTGACACGAGAAATAACACATCTTGAGAACCTTTTTCCAATTGCTTTTTAGAAATAAGAATTTATTCCTATCATAAAACCTATCAATATGCAGAACGGAGAAACTATAGAAAAGAAAGCAGAGTGCCAAACCTGTACCTGTCAAGATGCAGGGGAGATGACGTGTCAAGAAAAAGTGTGCCCAACTCTTAATTGTAAGGAAGACCAGCTGGAGGCTAGGAATGATGATGAGTGCTGTTCCTACTGTAAATCTATAAACTGTTCTGCTGAAGATGGAACAGTCTACTCTGGAGGAGAGCAGTGGCCTGGAGAAGATGGAAAAACTTGTACTTGTTTTGAGGCGGGTATCAACTGTGTGTGTGGTGACGAAACTCTGGTCTGTCCGGGAAGCACTGAGAAATGGACAAATCCTGAGGATTGCGAGTCCACGTGTATTAAATGTAAGTTATAACTGATAACGGAGAGTAGAATATTGGGTTGGTAAGAAATGACAATTTGTTTCCTTTTCGAAAAAACAAAACAATTTTATCATTTACCATCAATCAATTAATAATAATATAATAACCAAATAAATTATTTCACTGGATAGTGCCATATACTCATATACTTTTAAAATTCCGTTCCGTTAGTTGCATACTGGTTAATGTCAAAAGGCATAAATGATTTTTTTAGATTCGTTTTTATTCGATAGATACGACCACCTAAATACTGTTTAATTTCTGAATTAGTTTCATGATATGATGTATCCAACACAGTTTATCGCAACTGTTAACAATTACAAATTTCATTTCGGTGACTTGTTCGATCGGGTTACCATCAATTTCTAGACTCTCACTACTTTCCCTTTTATTTACATTTTTACGTTTCGTGGGCTAAAAGTACATGTAACAAGAATTTTCAACATTTTAACGCAAAAGATTATGGCGCATATTAATTATTTTGATATACACCTTCAACAAAAATTTCATTTGCAATTCCATATGCCTGTTCCTTGGTTTTAGCCGCTACTAAGATATTCGTATCGACAGCAAACATGGTACAAATGCTCCGAGGACCTAATGTATTTTAAGATACTACATCTGTAAATGTTAATAATTTAATATAAATGAGAAATAGTAAAGGACCCGACACAGATCCATAAAAGACACGCTATGCTGATTTTAACAGGTGGTACTCGTAAAATATTTGTTCCGAACCTTCGACGAGTCCAACTCGGCGAGTGTCTTGGCAGGTTATTAAACTACAATAATTGTAAAATGTTGATAAGGATTTATTACTACAGTAAATTAGTGCTCACCAAATTAATTTCAGTACCAGGTTATTGTTCCAGCTCCGGAGATCCTCACTACAGGTCGTTTGACGGAAAATACTATGATTTTCATGGAAAATGTACTTACCAGGCAGCCAGCTGTGGCGACTTTGTTGTAAGTTTTATTGTTTAGCTTCTTCTTTATCATTGAATTGTAATTATAAGGTACAATAATTTTGGTCGGTGGATGTGCTTCAAAGTTCAAATGTTATCAAGACTTCAAGAAATCAATCAACAGGACCTTATTAATTCGTGGTTTCATTCTATAACAATCAAACATAGTATTACGTGATCCCGTTACCCCTTTTCTGTTTGCACCCAAATATTATGTTATAATTTATTCAGATACTACAACAAATTCTAAAATTTGCAAACTGCGAGTGTCAGTGCAACATTTATGATCACAATCATTATTTTAGGTAAATTTCAAGAACGTTGATCTTTATAATCGAGCCCCAAGATACACTGAACGAATTGAGTTGATTTTCAAGGGAACCAAGTTTTCCATTGAGAGGGGTTGGCAGTCAAAGGTCGATGATATCGCAGTGAGTAATTCAATATCTTTTACAATTTCTGCACATGTCAGCTATAATTAATATAGTTTTAAATCAAAGATTGTGGGCTTATACCACCTAGTCCCAAAATATTATTATTATTAATCAATATATAAGACCTCGGTACAAAATTGTGAATAACAGACTTTACAAAATCTCTTAATATATTAATCCACAAATGATAAACTTACCAGGTGCAAATTCCCTACATTAAACATTTTAACAACGGAGATAGAGTTGAAATCGTCAACAATGGTCAACTTGAAATAAGGCTGCACAACAACGACAGAAACCCGTCCGTGCGTCTGCGTGCTACCAATGCTAATTCTTATATCAACGCTGAAATGTGGCTCCACGGGTCGTGTGCTGCCATAACGGAGGGTATGTGTGGGAACTGGAACGGGGACCCTAACGATGATCTGACGGGAGGAAGTGCAAACAGCTTGGGAATAATGCACCAGGAGTCTGATGAGAACTGTCCTGCTCCTCCTCCCGAACTAGATATTTGCACGGAAAACGGGAACCTGCACAACGAAGCTGAGGCTATATGTTCTGCTTTCCTGAGTAAGCAGTCTCAATTATAATTATCATAAAATTCACTGGACAAGGTATTAGGACAGTGAATTGTGTCTTAATCTCTGATAATATTCCCGAACTTAAGAACTGGACCTGTTTAACCCGATTACAGTTCAGAGAACAACTAATTAAACCAATCTCTCCTAGATGACCCGTTCAAGCAATGTAATGACGCAGTACCGGTTGGAGATAGAAACGGTGGTCCCATGAAGGACTGTATGATGGACGTGTGTCAATGTCATTTGGAAAAAGTTAGAGCACATTTATGCATTAATCGAATTCGTTTTAAGCTGTATACTTTTAGCCAAGCAAAGTACCCGGCAGTTGTTTTGACCTAAAGAAACAAATAGTCTCAATATGTTGTGTTGGTGGCATGATTCTGTCCAATATTCCTTCTATATCCATACTAAAACACTTCCAGATTTACCTGTAATGATCTTTCTTCAGGCGTGTGCTTGTCCTCAGTTTGACGTGTACGCCACGCAATGTCAAAATAACGGCTTCGATGCCGCCCATTGGAGAGAAAATGTCGCATTCTGTCGTAAGTTATTATTGGAAACCATACGATGATATAATTGCAATGAGAGCTTGGAACTGGGCTTGGAACTGGGCCTATTTCTGGAATAAGAAATCTAAAAAAACTGAGCTGACTCTTATCTTTTCCTCAGCGTACGATTGTCCTGAACCAACAGTGTACCTACCTGACGGATCCACCCCAGTACCAACTTGCCTTAACAGGGACCCGTCGAAGACCGGGACTGTTGCAGGGTGTTTCTGTCCAGAAGGCCAGTTCCTACAGGATGGACTTTGTGTGGAAGCTAGTGGGTGCAAGTGTCTCTACGAGGGACATATATACGATGTGAGTGACTATGACGACATTCAGTGATACGAGAAATAACACATCTTGGGAACCTTTTTCCAATTTCTTTTTAGAAATAAGAATTTAATGCTATTATTATAAACCTTATCAATATGCAGAACAGAGAAATTATAGAAAAGAAAGCAGAGTGCCAAACCTGTACCTGTCAAGATGCAGGGGAGATGACGTGTCAAGAAAAAGTGTGCCCAACTCTTAATTGTAAGGAAGACCAGCTGGAGGCTAGGAATGATGATGAGTGCTGTTCCTACTGTAAATCTATAAACTGTACAGCTGAAGATGGAACAGTCCAATCTGGAGGAGAGCAGTGGCCTGGAGAAGATGGAAAAACTTGTACTTGCTTTGAGGCGGGTATCAACTGTGTGTGTGGCGACGAAACTCTGGTCTGTCCGGGAAGCACTGAGAAATGGACAAATCCTGAGGATTGCGAGTCCACGTGTACTAAATGTAGGTTATAACTGATAACGGAGAGTAGAATATTGGGTTGGTAAGAAATGACAATTTGTTTCCTTTTAGAAAAAAAAAAAAACAATTTTATCACTTATCATCAATCAATTAATAATAATATAACAACCAAATAAATTATTTCACTGGGTATTGCCATATACTCATATACTTCAAAAATTCCGTTCCGTTAGTTGCGTAATGGTTAATGTAAAAAGGCATAAATGATAAAAAATAAGTCGTTTTTATTCGATAGATACGACCACCTAAATACTGTTTAATTTCTTAATTAGTTTCTTGATATGAGGTATCCAACACAATTTATATCGTAAATATTAACACTTAAAAATTTCATTTTTGTGACTTGTTCGATCGGGATCTACCATCAATTTCTAGACTCTCACTACTTTCCCTTTTATTTACATTTTTACAATTCGTGGGCTAGAAGTACATGTAACAAGATTTTTTCAACATTTAAGTGCAAAAGATTATGGCGCATATTATTTTGATATACACCTTCAACAAAAATTCCATTTGCAATTCTTATGCCTGTTCCTTGTTTTCTGCCGCTACTAACATATTCGTATCGTCAGCAAACATGGTACAAATGCTTCGAGGACCTCATGTATTTTAAGAAACTACATTATTCTGTAAATGTTAATAGTTTAATACAAATGAAAAATAGAAAAGGACCCGACACAGATCCTTAAAAGACACGCTATGCTGATTTTAACAGGTGGTACTCGTAAACTATTTGTTCCGAACCTTCGACGAGTCCAACTCGGCGAACGTCTTGGCAGGTTATTAAACTACAATTGTAAAATGTTGATAAGGATTTATTACTACAGTAAATTAGTGCTCACCAAATTAATTTCAGTACCAGGTTATTGTTCCAGCTCTAGTGATCCTCACTACAGGTCGTTTGACGGAAAATACTATGATTTTCATGGAAAATGTACTTACCAGGCAGCCAGCTGTGGCGACTTTGTTGTAAGTTTTATTGTTTAGCTTCTTCTTTATCATTGAATTGTGATTAGGTACAATTGTGGTCAGTAAATGTGCTTCAAATTTTATCAAGAAATTAATTAACAGGACCTTATTAGTTCGTGGTTTCCTTATACAACATTCAAACATAGCATTTACGATCCCAGTTACCCTTTTGATCTGCTCACACCCGAATTTCATGTTATAATTTATTGAGATACTGCAACAAATTGTGAAGATAACAAACTGCAACATTTGTTATCACAATTCTTATTTCAGGTAAATTTCAAGAACGTTGATCTTCATAATCGAGCACCAAGATACACCGAACAAATTAAGTTGATTTTCAAGGGAACCAAGTTTTCCATTGAGAGGGGTTGGCAGTCAAAGGTCGATGATACCGCAGTGAGTAATTCAATATTTATTACAATTTTCTACAAAATATGTCAAGTGCTATAGTGTTAAATCAAAATTTGTGGGTTGCCACCTAGTCCCAAAATATTATTAATCAAGACTTTCGTACAAAATTCAAAATTGTGAATAACAGGCTTTCCCAAATCTCATAATATATTAATCTGCAAATGATAAACTTACCAGGTTCAAATTCCCTACATTAAACATTACAACAACGGAGATAAGGTTGAAATCATCAACAATGGTCAACTTGAAATAAGGCTGCACAACAAGGACAGAAACCCGTCCGTGCGTCTGCGTGCTACCAACGGTGGTTCTTATATCAACGCTGAAATGTGGCTCCACGGGTCGTGTGCTGCCATAACGGAGGGTATGTGTGGGAACTGGAACGGTGACCCTAACGATGATCTGACGGGAGGAAGTGCAAACAGCTTGGGAATAATGCACCAGGAGTCTGATGAGAACTGTCCTGCTCCTCCTCCCGAACTAGATGTTTGCACGGAAAACGGGAACCTGCACAACGAAGCTGAGGCTATATGTTCTGCTCTCCTGAGTAATCAGTCTCAATTATAATTTTCATATATTTCACTGGACAAGGTATTAGGACAGTGAATTGTGTCTTAATCTCTAATTATTCTCCCGAACTTAAGAACTGGACCTGTTTAACCCGATTACAGTTCAGAGAACAACTAATTAAACCAATCTCTCCTAGATGACCCGTTCAAGCAATGTAATGACGCAGTACCGGTTGGAGATAGAAACGGTGGTCCCATGAAGGACTGTATGATGGACGTGTGTCAATGTCATTTGGAAAAAGTTAGAGCACATTGATGCATTAATCGAATTCGTTTTAAGCTGTATACTTTTAGCCAAGCAAAGTACCCGGCAGTTGTTTTGACCTAAAGAAACAAAAAGTCTCAACATTTTTTGTTGGTGGCATGATTCTGTCCAATGTTCCTTCTATATCCATACTAAAACACTTCCAGTTTTACCTGTAATGATCTTTCTTCAGGCGTGTGCTTGTCCTCAATTTGACGTGTACGCCACGCAATGTCAAAATAACGGCTTCGATGCCGCCCATTGGAGAGAAAATGTCGCATTCTGTCGTAAGTTATTATTGGAAACCATACGATGATATAATATTTGCAATTAAAAGTAATTCCTAAGTTCCAAAACTTTTTTTATTTTTCTACAAAAATTTTCCGGTTGAACTTATTTATTCCGACATAATATTATGACAGAGCTTGGAACTGGGCCTATTTCTGGAATAAGAAATCTAAAAAAGCTGAGCTGACTTTTATCTTTTCCTCAGCGTACGATTGTCCTGAACCAACAGTGTACCTACCTGACGGAGCCACCCCAGTACCAACTTGCCTCAACAGGGACCCGTCGAAGACCGGGACTGTTGCAGGGTGTTTCTGTCCAGAAGGCCAGTTCCTACAGGATGGACTTTGTGTGGAAGCTAGTGGGTGCAAGTGTCTCTACGAGGGACATATATACGATGTGAGTGACTATGACGACATTCAGTGACACGAGAAATAACATATCTTGGGAACATTTTTCCAATTGCTTTTTAGAAATAAGAATTTATTCCTATTATAAAACCTATCAATATACAGAACGGAGAAACTATAGAAAAGAAAGCAGAGTGCCAAACCTGTACCTGTCAAGATGTAGGGGAGATGACGTGCCAAGAAAAAGTGTGTCCAACTCTTAATTGTAAGGAAGACCAGCTGGAGGCTAGGAATGATGATGAGTGTTGCTCCTACTGCTCATCTATAAGTTGTAAGTCCACTGATTTGAAACTTTTACAAATAGTACATATACAATATACAGCAATGAGAATAAAAAATAATCGACACCATAAAGCAATACGTTGGGTGAAAGATTGTATATATTATCACAGTGCTGGCAAGCACGAGCGTTGCCTTTATTGGGGGTATACTATTTACCCCCTTTACTATTTACCTCCTTTACTATTATACTTGTGCCTTGATTTTTCCGATATGCTTGTTCACTAATTCAGATGCGAAGTTTGAGCTCTATTCGCAAATACACACCACCCAACAAAATCATACAAAAATATGCAATATTTAGACTACCCTTGGAGTGAAGTGCTTAAGTGTGTACCATATGTGTACAGATACACGAGTATTCCATAATACTTGCACTTATCTCCCACCCCAGTATAACTATTATACTTGTAGGTTTACAACCTACCAGGACGCGCACCGAGTTGGACTCGTCGACGGTCCAATATATGGAACAAATATTTTACGAGTATCACCCGTTAACTATTATACCCCCTTTACTATTATACCCCATTTACTATTATACCCCCTTTACTATTATATCCCCTTTACTGTTTACCCCCTTTACTATTATACCCCCTTTACTATTTACCCCCTTTACTATTATACCCCCTTTACTGTTTTCAGGCATTAAGACTCACCGAAAGTAGTTCAGCATGCATATTTTAAGTTTAAAACATTCTAATTCAATGTCAAATATGACAAGAATAAGAAATAGTTGTGTGGAGGTTTTTAAGAAAGTTGCGCAAAATACGCGCCAGCACTGTTATACGAAATACGGTAAAAAACCCATAATCGCCATATTCAGGTGCCTTAAAAAACCTGTTAAAAATTAAAATTGAGTTAGAAATCTCTTTCATAAAGATATATGTAATATTCTCTGGTGTTGGGCCATCCCTTAAGTTGTAAAGCTCAAATTTGCTTCCTAAAGGTCTAAATGGTGTCATAGGCTAGTTTTAAAGTTGTAAATCAAAAAGTTGCACACGTGAGGACAAGCCCAAATTGATAGAAAATTGCTAAAATCATTGAAAATTGGTGTTTTCACGATTTTTATCAACTTTGGAGTCCCGTTGTGATCCAAGTTCTATTTGAAATTTTTTGAAACTTTGCACGCTTATCAAACAATGTATAAAATACCGCTATGCACAAATTTACGGCCGTGATTCAATATTATATGCGCACGCAACGTCCGCTCAAAGTTTGCACGCGTAAGGTGAGAATTTTGCTCATTCGTTATTCGAATAAATTTTGCTTTCCCACGACATTTAAATGGCATTATATATGAATTTAATGCCAACTTGAATGAGTAAAAAGTGCCATATTCAGTCAGTGATCGACAGATTTGCTTACCTAAACACAAGAAAATGTTTTTTAAGGTTAAATTTCGAAATCATTGAAATTACCTCGTTATTAATGAAGTTATGAGTTTACATTTCGACTTAGTAAAGTACCCTGACATTATAATCAATAAGAGATGATATTTGACCAAAACCCATAATTATGGGTAGAGTGGACCACAGCCAGTGTCTCTCTTTCCCAAACAAAAGTAAATGATATTAGTTTGAATGACCGTATGCAAATGCAAAATGATATCGAGAACCCAATTATGGGTTTTGGTCAAATCATTTATTATAAATCCTGAAAGTAACGTTTTATTGATATTGCAACTTGCAGTCATGCATTCCTTAAGGAGTGCAAATTATATTGTTAGGCTGTATGAATTTTCTGTCATGTATAATAAAAATATCCTCTACCACGAACCAAACAATTCAGATGTTACTTCGACTCCCAAGGATATCACCATCACTGTAGACCAGACATTGACTTGCAATATCGGAGGGCTCGACCCTAGTGGAACCCCTGCTACTGTAACTTGGAAGGATAATGATGGTGCTGAAGTTTTGACAGGGGATACCGACAACTATGGTTTCAGCCGAGGATCAGTAGATGGAAGCGGAAATCAGGTAGCAGAACTAACCATCAAAGCTGCGAAGCTGCCTGATTTTACTAGTCTATCATCAGTGACCTACAAGTGCTCAGTCCAGTCTGGCCAATACACAGATTCTCCTGCAACCAGCAACGTAGAAGTCGAAGCTACCATTCTAACACTGGGTGAGCGTAACATATCTAGGCTGACAGTTTTATCTGTCATACTGATGATCAAGTAAGTTCAATGATTTTCGTACAACAATTCATTCAATAAAGGGCCAAATTATTACGTATTATTGCCGCTCTTAGACACTGAGCTGTTGAAACGCTGTGGTCAGTTAGTTTATATCTAAGATAACTTGTTACATCCTACTGTTAAAACAAAATTAAACTCATCATAGGATCTAAGGATCCAGTGATTTTAGTTTAGAAAGTTCAATGATTCAGATGTAAAAGCTAAGGGTAGCGAAGTGCTGAAAAACACAGAAGCTACAATATCTTGTGTAGTAAGTGGTTTGAGTAAAAGCTAAGGGTAGCGAAGTGCTGAAAAACACAGAAGCTACAATATCTTGTGTAGTAAGTGGTTTGAGTAAGCAGCTGGAGGCGGTAACATGGAAGAAACCTTCGGGTGATGCTATAACTGACGGTACTGACAGCTATGCTATTGAGGTTGGAACTTACGTTTCTGGCACCAACATTCAAACTACAATTTTGACCGTACCTGCTGGTGAAAACACGGCTGATGCTCTTTTCACCTGTGTCATTCAATCTGACGAGCATGCAAAAACATCAGCGTCTCCAGAAGAGACTGATGTCAACTCGAACGTTTTCAGTGAGTAATCTTGATACATTTTGAGAACCACAATGTGTATAACGAGGTCTTATTCAAATTTTGCAGCAGTAATCTTTCTTAATTTAGGCTATTTTAGTTACAACTACATGTAATGATACTTTAACATACCAAATGTTTTGTGAGTTTGAAAGAATCAAATTATTTTAGCCGTCGTTCCGGAGACTCCTAAAAAAGCCACCACCGCTGTGGCTCAGACATTGACTTGTGATATCGGAGATGTGGTTACAGATGTTATTGTGTCGTGGAAGGATAATGCTGGGGCTGATATAACAAGTGATAGTGCAGGGTACACCATCGCACAGGGATCAGCTGACTCTGGTACCAAAATTCAGACATCAACTCTGACCATCGATGTTGCCACTCTTACAAGTGTAGCTGTCGCTGCAAATCCCGCGACATACAAATGTGCTGCGCAATCTGTAGAATATTCGGATTCAGCAACATCTACTTTCAAAGAGATTGTTGTCAACTTCCTTACTTTCGGTAAGTTTCTTAGGACTTGGTGGTATTTATAACTGCCCATAAATGATGCTCTGCTGTTTTAACTTTATATCTAAGATATAACTTGTTACATCCTACTGTAAAAACAAAATTAAACTCATCATAGGATCCAGTGAATTTAGTTGAGAAAGTTCAATGATTCAGTTCCTGTACAATACTGTTAATATTTTTTTTATTGCGGGCTTACTTTAAATGACTGATTGTTTCAGATGTAAAAGCTAAGGGTAGCGAAGTGCTGAAAAACACAGAAGCTACAATATCTTGTGTAGTAAGTGGTTTGAGTAAGCAGCTGGAGGCGGTAACATGGAAGAAACCTTCGGGTGATGCTATAACTGACGGTACTGACAGCTATGCTATTGAGGTTGGAACTTACGTTTCTGGCACAAACATTCAAACTACAATTTTGACCGTACCTGCTGGTGAAAACACGGCTGATGCTCTTTTCACTTGTGTCATTCAATCTGACGAGCATGCAAAAACATCAGCGTCTCCAGAAGAGACTGATGTCAACTCGAACGTTTTCAGTGAGTAATCTTGATACATTTTGAGAACCACAATGTGTATAACGAGGTCTTATTCAAATTTTGCAGCAGTAATCTTTCTTAATTTAGGCTATTTTAGTTACAACTACATGTAATGATACTTTAACATACCAAATGTTTTGTGAGTTTGAAAGAATCAAATTATTTTAGCCGTCGTTCCGGAGACTCCTAAAAAAGCCACCACCGCTGTGGCTCAGACATTGACTTGTGATATCGGAGATGTGGTTACAGATGTTATTGTGTCGTGGAAGGATAATGCTGGGGCTGATATAACAAGTGATAGTGCAGGGTACACCATCGCACAGGGATCAGCTGACTCTGGTACCAAAATTCAGACATCAACTCTGACCATCGATGTTGCCACTCTTACAAGTGTAGCTGTCGCTGCAAATCCCGCGACATACAAATGTGCTGCGCAATCTGTAGAATATTCGGATTCAGCAACATCTACTTTCAAAGAGATTGTTGTCAACTTCCTTACTTTCGGTAAGTTTCTTAGGACTTGGTGGTATTTATAACTGCCCATAAATGATGCTCTGCTGTTTTAACTTTATATCTAAGATATAACTTGTTACATCCTACTGTAAAAACAAAATTAAACTCATCATAGGATCCAGTGAATTTAGTTGAGAAATTTCAATGATTCAGTTCCTGTACAATACTGTTGATATTTTTTATTGCGGGCTTACTTTAAATGACTGATTGTTTCAGATGTAAAAGCTAAGGGTAGCGAAGTGCTGAAAAACACAGAAGCTACAATATCTTGTGTAGTAAGTGGTTTGAGTAAGCAGCTGGAGGCGGTAACATGGAAGAAACCTTCGGGTGATGCTATAACTGACGGTACTGACAGCTATGCTATTGAGGTTGGAACTTACGTTTCTGGCACAAACATTCAAACTACAATTTTGACCGTACCTGCTGGCGAAAACACGGCTGATGCTCTTTTCACCTGTGTCATTCAATCTGACGAGCATGCAAAAACATCAGCGTCTCCAGAAGAGACTGATGTCAACTCGAACGTTTTCAGTGAGTAATCTTGATACATTTTGAGAACCACAATGTGTATAACGAGGTCTTATTCAAATTTTGCAGCAGTAATCTTTCTTAATTTAAGCTATTTTAGTTACAACTACATGTAATGATACTTTAACATACCAAATGTTTTGTGAGTTTGAAAGAATCAAATTATTTTAGCCGTCGTTCCGGAGACTCCTAAAAAAGCCACCACCGCTGTGGCTCAGACATTGACTTGTGATATCGGAGATGTGGTTACAGATGTTATTGTGTCGTGGAAGGATAATGCTGGGGCTGATATAACAAGTGATAGTGCAGGGTACACCATCGCACAGGGATCAGCTGACTCTGGTACCAAAATTCAGACATCAACTCTGACCATCGATGTTGCCACTCTTACAAGTGTAGCTGTCGCTGCAAATCCCGCGACATACAAATGTGCTGCGCAATCTGTAGAATATTCGGATTCAGCAACATCTACTTTCAAAGAGAGATTGTTGTCAACTTCCTTACTTTCGGTAAGTTTCTTAGGACTTGGTGGTATTTATAACTGCCCATAAATGATGCTCTGCTGTTTTAACTTTATATCTAAGATATAACTTGTTACATCCTACTGTAAAAACAAAATTAAACTCATCATAGGATCCAGTGAATTTAGTTGAGAAAGTTCAATGATTCAGTTCCTGTACAATACTGTTGATATTTTTTATTGCGGGCTTACTTTAAATGACTGATTGTTTCAGATGTAAAAGCTAAGGGTAGCGAAGTGCTGAAAAACACAGAAGCTACAATATCTTGTGTAGTAAGTGGTTTGAGTAAGCAGCTGGAGGCGGTAACATGGAAGAAACCTTCGGGTGATGCTATAACTGACGGTACTGACAGCTATGCTATTGAAGTTGGAACTTACGTTTCTGGCACCAACAGTCAAACTACAATTCTGACCATACCTGTTGGTGAAAACACGGCTGATGCTCTTTTCACCTGTGTCATTCAATCTGACGAGCATGCAAAAACATCAGCGTCTCCAGAAGAGACTGATGTCAACTCTAACGTTTTCAGTGAGTAATCTTGATACATTTTGAAAACCACAATGTGTATAACGAGGTCTTATTCGAATTTTTCAGCAGTAATCTTTCTTAATTTAGGCTTTTTTTTTCTTTTTTTAAGAGAGGTTGGGCCAAGATAGCCCACGAAAGGATAGCATTGAGATGCTCTGCCTACCTCTGAGGTGGGCAAAAAACACTTGTTTTTGCCCACTTTAACTTTTCTTCCTGGTCAGTAGACCAGGGTGAAAAAATTATAGCCATCTTCAAAAGTTTAAAAAGACTGAATGATTTATTTACATATAAGCATATACATCTTTCAGCTGTAGCGTCAGTGACTTATTCAGTCATTACTGGTGAGGATCAGACGTTGACCTGTGCAGTAGGAGAACTAGACGTAGGTGGAACCCCTGTTAATGTAGTCTGGAAGGCTCCTGATGGTACGACTGTATCTGTATCGGATATTACGAACTATGATGTCAGCAACGGTACAGTCAATGTAACCGGCATACAGGTGGCAGAACTCACCATCAAGGCTACCAAGCTTGCTGATTTTGCTAACCAGTCAACATTCACATACAAATGCTCGGTAACATCAACACAGTACCCAAACTCACCTGTATCTACCCACGGAGTTGTGGTCAACGTTCTAGGTGATTTAATTAAGAATAATGTTCTACAAAAGTTTAAGGACGATTATTTGTGTATGATCTTGTTTCCATAATATTTTGATTCCCTTTTAGCTAATAGTCTTCTTATACGTTGCAGTAAACATACAACTGCAATAGTTTGATTCGCCCTTGAAGATGTTAGACTTACTTGATTAGGTCTCCTCAATCATTCGAGTGGCCTGCACCAATGAACTCCCGTTTGTGACGTATCATCTCCCTCCAAAGTTTGCGGTCACTAGCCATCTCGCTCGCTCCTTCTAGGTCTATGTCAGTGTTTCCTGTAAACGCCGCAGCATCTTCCAGCAGACATTTCCTCCAGTTCTTTCTTGGACGGCCCCTAGATCTTTTCCCATGGGCAGGGGTCCAGTTAAGCAGGTACTTAGGAAGCCTAGTGTCTGGCATTCTGGTGACATGGCCAAACCAACGCAGGCGGTTTGCTCCTATGTACATCTCTACTGGATTTATCTTTGCACGCTCCAGCACTTCAGTGTTTCTAACCCGATCGAGCCATTTTATCCTAAGTATTCTCCTCAAGCAACGCTGATGGAACACCTCAAAGCGATGTAGCTGCTTTTTGGTTGTGTTCCAAACCTCACTACCATACAACAATATTGTCAAAACTGCTGCCTTATAAATCCTGATCTTTGTATAAGACTGGATGTTGCGGTTTTTCCATATATTACTCAGTTGATTGAAGGCTCCGGAAGCTTTCTGAATCCTAGCTGACAGCTCACGGTCGATAGTACCGTCGCTGGAAATAATTGTACCTAAGTACGTAAAGTCACTAACTTGCTGCACTGGCGTGTCTTCAACAGTGATGTTCACTGTGGCTTCTTTCGTGTATGGCCGTTGAGAGGTTGCTTTACCAATGACCATAGCCTCAGTCTTTTTACCATTGATTCTAAGACCTCCCTGGGCACCATACATACACAAAAGGTCAGTTGTTTCTTGAAGACCTTCCTCGCTGTTATCCAGTACAGCCATGTCATCTGCATAATCTGTATCTAACACAGTGATATCATCAACAAGCGGACTGATAGATCTTTGAAGAACCGCTCCGTGGGACACCACTTTGTTGCTTTCTGTTCTCTCAGCAGCCACATTGAGGCAGACATTAAAAAGTGGGGGACCCTGAATGTCTCCTTGGCCACTGCCTGAACTTACTTCAAACCATTCTGATAGTTCACCATTGTGTCTAACTGCACTAACAGTTCCATTAAAGAATGCCTGTATTATTTGAATGTATTTACATGGCAGGCCATAATGACTGAAAGCTTTCCAAATATAATTCCTGTCGATGGAATCAAAAGCTGCCTTGAAGTCCACAAAATTTACATACAGGGGGAGATTATATTCAATGCAGTTATGTATAATAGTGCGGAGTGAATAAATCTGATCAATGCATGATCTGTTCTTTCTAAACCCACACTGATTGTCTCGTAGCAAACTTTCTAAACCGTCACTCATGCGTTGTAATATGATGATTTGATACAGTTTAGATGCTGTAGATCTTAGAGTGATTCCCCTATTATTGGAGCAATGAGAGGTATCACCCTTCTTTGGTACAATTATCACGATGCCTTTCAACCAGTCGTCAGGCACTGCTTCTGAATTCCAAACTTTAGAGAACAATTTCTCCATCCTATCCACAAGACCACTTGCCCCATACTTTAACTGCTCATTAGAGATTTCGTCGATCCCAGCACTTTTGTGGTTCTTCAATTTTTTGAGACAGTTTAAAATCTCAAGTCTAGTGGGGGGACCATCACCATCACCAAGATAAGGAAAGCATGGAACCACTTCAAGATGGTCCAGGTCAGACAGATCCGCATTCGTGGGAGGAGGGTTTAATAGCTCCGAAAAATGTTCTCCCCATCTCTCTCTCTGAGCAGAGGGATCAGCAATCAACTTCCCGGATTTGTCTCTTACAGCAGTTGATTTTCGATTCTTCTTACCGGACAGTGTTTTTATCCGTTGCCAGACTTCCCTTTGCCGGCCATGGACAGCAGCTGTTTCCAGATCTGCTGCAACTCTAAGAGCCCAATTCTCGTCGTCTTTCCTGCAGCTTTTTTTGACAAGTTTGTTGGCCCGAGAATACTCGCTCCTATTGTTGTTGTCACTAGGCGCCATCTGTTTAATCTTACTGCGTTCTGCAATAAGACTTTTTGTCTCTTGAGACAAATGCTGCTGCTTTCTGCGCCGTGGGCGCTCACCCAGTACCTCCATAGACACTTCTTTAATAGTATCCTTAACTAATGTCCATTCTCCATCAAGATTCTCCTCCATTGGTAGGCAGCTAAAACGATTTTGAAGAGCAATGCAGTACTCTTCAACCTTGGACTGATCTCTAAGATTCTCAATTGCTGGAGATATCCTACGAGAGGCGTTCATTTTTTGAACTGCCATAAGTTTGACTCTAAATTGACCCCGAACCAAATAATGATCGGAGCCAATGTCTGCACCCCTGCATGATCTTACGTCAAGTAGAGAGTGACTCCACTTGGTAGAAATACAGACATGGTCAATCTGATTTACTGTGCGGCCATCTGGAGACTTCCAACTTCCTTTATGAATATCACGATGCTGGAAAAGCGTCCCACCGATTGTCAGCTGATGTAATGCACAGAAATCTAATAGTCTAAGGCCGTTGTCATTTGATGAAACGTGAAGGGAATGCTTACCAATCACACCGGACCAAGCTGAGTTATCTTGGCCAATGCGAGCATTTAGATCTCCAAGTAAAAACTTCACGTCATGAGCTGGTAGTTCATCAAATGCCCCAGATAGCTGCTGATAAAAGTCATCCTTTACCCCGACTGCTGCATCCTCAGTTGGAGCATAAGCTATCACAATCGAAATGTTGATATGTCGACTGTGCAGCCTCGCTGCAAGAATACGTTCTGATATCGGACTGTATGAAATCAATGAATTTTTAGTCTTCTTCGAGAGGACTAAACCTACTCCTTGTCGTCTGTACCCATCACTTCTTCCTGAGTTAATAAAGAGGACCCATCATCCAAGGTAACCTCACCAGTGCCGGGTCTGTGCGTCTCTGTCAGCCCCAAGACATCCATTTTATATGCTGACATATTCTGTGACAATTCATACAGTTTTGAGGAACTGGTCTCCAATGATTACACATTCCACGTTCCCACATTAATGCTGTGTTTGATAAAGTTGCATGGGAGTGCTCTCCCCTTCTCCGGGTCCACATGAGTGATATGCTGTGAACTAATAACACTGTTGAAATAAGGCGACTTCTTTGTTCTCATCTGCACACTGGGGTCCTTGCGGCTTTGCCCAGAGCACTTCATCCCGGCTACACCCCTCCTTGAACTCCGAGAGTCACTCCACTTTTGGTTATTCATTGATGTTTCAGTAGCTATTTTAAGGTTGAAGGGTAGCTGGCCCCTCGAACCTGGTAGTTTTTTATCGACCTTTACTGGTCTAGATCCATAGTTTTTTGTTGCACCTCATCTGTTTAAACTGGAATCATCCAGAACAGATTACTGTACTTAATAGTGGCACCTCGTAAAGGGTGTACTATGGTCATTGAAGATGTTAGAGCTCACATAAAATAACTTTGACGGTCTCTCGTAATAAAACATAAAACTTTCTTTGTCCTCAAAATGTGGATTGTAAAATTAGAATTTATTTTTGAATCATGAGTAAGTCGCTACAAAGTGTATATATCTAAAATACTTTGAACTGTGGAAGCATTTTTTACCCTTAATCAGATTTTCCCTTTCAGCACCTTGTAGCATGCCCGTTATCGAACAAGGCATCATATCTCCATATTCGACGATTGATTCAGGCTCAACATACGAAATAAGGTGCGACAGCGGATTTGTCATAACTGGACCGTCGTCAATGGTGTGCACTGACGGTACCCTATCTGAATCCCCATCTTGTCCACCAGGTTAATCTACTAAATATGATTTGGAGACATTATGGTTTCCAAATGAAATTATCATTGATAAGGAATAAATTTCAATCGGGTTATCCTCAGTACTTGTTAATATTATTACACTTTCATATTTTGTATAGATCAATGTTCATTGAGAAATATTTTCCAAATTTCTGACTTCATATTTACCAACAGGGATTGGAAATTAATTTCTTTCTTCTGTCTGTGATAATTTATATTTTGTTGTCTTCAGTGGCTACTGTCACTTGTGATGGATACGGAATAAAGTTGTTCATTACCGAGAAAATTAGTTTTGATGCAATATTGCTCAACGACAAAGGTATTTTATTTGATAATTTTTAGAGTTTGTTTGCATCTATTTTTGAATATCTGATAGAATTTTTATACCGTAAATCACGTTGTCAATACTTCATTACAGAGTGTGAGATTAAGGGAGACTCTCAAGAAATCAGAACAGATTTAGACAAATGCGGTACGACGGTATCTTATAATAACAGTCATGTCATTTACAAAAACCAAGTAAGATGCTCTTCATTTACCGTTATATTTGTTAGTTATTAGCAGATTTTTGTCGTTTAATTTCGATTGAGCTGAAGAGACGGGTGGTAGAATAAATAAATTATAACTTAAAAAAAGATTATAAATCAAGTCTTGAAAATTACGTTTTTTTCCTTGTAAATTTTCCTATAAATTAATTTTTCAGATGATAGGAATTTCCAGTAAATTGATTACAGTAACGGTATAACCAGAGGAGGAGAACTTAAGATATCATTTGAGTGCTCATTCAATAGAACAGGTGAAATATCATGGAAATTATTGAAATTAATCTAATTGAAAATGAAATGAAATAAAGCATTTTTATCCCGCTTATATCAACAATCCAAATAAAAATAAAGATTGCCGATGTCAAAGCGGCTGGCCTATGAATATACCCCAAACTAAGATATTCAGTGAATGAGTATGATATAAAAAATCTAAAACCAAATTACTTATTGACATTAAAAGTTAGTATAGCAACGGTTAAAAAAAACAACTCATGGATGTATATCATTAAACATTATTATAAATCGTTCACTCCACTACCTTGTCCTTACAACAAATTTTATCACTTCTGATATAATAATGTTTATCTGTGTCTTCTTTGGCAATCTGTTTCATCTCTAAGACCAACTGTTGATGGATAGTTCGTTCCTCAGGTGATTGGTCCGGAGAAATGAAAACAGTTTTATGACGTGGAATCAGTCTCAGTTCTTTGGCTTTCACTAATATCTGATGGACTGTACTTGAATTTTCAAAAGAAACTTTAACTGGTCTAATCTTTTCAGCTGACTTCTTCCCAACCCGGACAGCTTCGAAGTGTGGCTTTTCTTCAATCTGCTGAAACATCTCGCTAACTTCATGACTCAGATTCTCTTCACTAGTCTCCTCGAAACCAAATATTAACACATTCTTAGTTGGATCCTCTTCTGATATAACATTCTGTACAACCTTTTTCAAGCTCTCTTCTGTGAGTACAGGTGCGGCTTTTGAAACAGCTTGACTGTATGTGATTATCCCAGCTTGAACAGTGTCCTGAACGCTGGTCTTGACGGTGGACTTGGAGTGCACGGATTCCAACTGCTTCGATTTGCTTTCCAGAAGTTCAGCCTGCAGCTTGATAACAGTACTTTGCGATCGGATAAGATGGGAAGTTGGTCGTTTAGCTCCGGACAGTCTATGCAACGTCTATGCAACGTCCGTGCAACAACAAAAGAACCGTCTATGCAACGTCTATGCAACGTCCCTGCACAATGAACACTCTATGCACACTCCCTGCACGGTCAGTCTATGCAACGTCTATGCAACGTCTATGCAACGTCTATGCAACGTCCCTGCACAGTACCATATGAACACCGGCTACTAGCCGGCTACAAGCCGGCTAGTAGCCACTTTTGTAATAACAGCTCCTCAACTTCACATTACCAACCGGCTACTAACCGGCACTTGAAAAGTGGTCACTAGCCGGCTACTAACCGGCTACTAGCCGGCTAGTGACCACAAAGTGGCTACTAACCGGCTACTAAGCGGTCACTAGCCGGCTATTAGCCGAGCTCTAAAGCAGACCTATTAGTAGCCGGTTCTAAACCGGCTACTAGCCGGCACTTGAAAAGCGGTCACTAGCCGGCTACTAACCGGCTACTAACCGGCTAGTAACCACCAAGTGGCTACTAGTAGGTCTGCTTTAGAGCTCGGCTAATAGCCGGCTAGTGACCGCTTAGTAGCCGGTTAGTAGCCACTTTGTGGTCACTAGCCGGCTAGTAGCCGGTTAGTAGCCGGCTAGTGACCACTTTTCAAGTGCCGGTTAGTAGCCGGTTGGTAATGTGAAGTTGAGGAGCTGTTATTACAAAAGTGGCTACTAGCCGGCTAGTAGCCGGCTAGTAGCCGGTGTTCATATGGTACTGTGCAGGGACGGTGCATAGACGTTGCATAGACGTTGCATAGACGTTGCATAGACTGACCGTGCAGGGAGTGTGCATAGAGTGTTCATTGTGCAGGGACGTTGCATAGACGTTGCATAGACGGTTCTTTTGTTGTTGCATGGACGTTGCATAGACGTTGCATAGACTGTCCGGAGCTAAACGACCAAGTTGCCTCACAGTTCATCTAGCTCCCGCGAGTTCAGTGACCCAAGCGTTATAGACCTGATGGTGTTCGGTAATGTAGGAAGAGTAATTTGACAATCTTTGAAGAGTATCCATTTCATCATCATCCATAGTGTACTTGTACTTGTATAAAGTAAAAACACAGTACCCGCACAATGGCAGTTATAATGTAGCGATAAAATAGAGATAAGAGAGCTAGATTATCAACAGTTAACAAAAACTGCACATTCACAAGTTTTTATTATCTATGAACTATAATTATACTTTTTAAACACAATTCAAATTGCAATTTACGTTTTAAACGATAAAAGATAGTTTGACGGAGCAGTTTTGTCGGATCGAAAGTTGCTAGATTTATAAAGAAAAAAAGCTAAAAGTTAAAAAATAAAAACTTGATAAATCTTAAATGTAACCACAATCATGATAGACACTTTTTTAATTTCCCAGGTGCCACCAAGTATGCATCTTGGGAGGTAAAGGGTGCAGCCATTGTGGAAAAGGTGACGGGTGAAGGTTCGCTACGTTTCCTTCTAGATATCTACGAGGACGCAACATATGCCAACAAAGTGGTCAACTTTCCCTTTCAGCTAACACTTAACGCTAATATCAACATGCAGGTCTTGTGTGAAATTTGTAATCCACTGATTTGTAGTACTCATCGCCAACTTCATTTTGCAACTATACCATGGAATATAAAGACCTTGGATCAATATAAAGACCATGTATCATCTGAAATTTAAAGTCTTTAAACCAATTTAGGAGTTGATTGGGATGTGTTAATTAGGATGGAATAAAATTTCGATTCTTTACCACTTTATAGCAACTTATGATATTCCCAACAATAATCACTTAAGCACTGAGAAGAATAGCTTTGATAAACTAAAACACATAACCAGGTCACACTGGATTCATTAGATCCAGACCAGTCTCTGGGTGTGGTCAGAATACAGGCAAAGGACAGTGAAACTGAGGAGGATGGAAACTTGTCCTACGACTTGGTGAAGGAAGGGTCAGTTCTTTAATTGGGAGTCCAGTGGCCATACGATCCCGCCCCCGCTACCCCCCCCCCCCCCAACGGGGGAGGTGAAACATGTTTTCACCTACCCCTATGCGGGGGGGGGGGTGAAAACATTTTGATTGGTCAACGCTGGAAGCTGATTGGATTATTGCTGTCTCAACGTGCCATAAATAGTATTCATATTTCATATCACACAGTAGTGAGTGTGACTGAGTTAAAATAGTGATAACGATGCTGTTTTCTTTTTAGAAAGCACGAAACTATAGCTTATAGTTATATCCATAATTTCAAAGCTTTTTTTAAGTGAAATATTAACGAAGGGAATTTAATTTCCATATAGCTAGATAAATATGTTGTGACCTTTAGGTTTTACTTTTACTTAATTTAAATTCATTTCAGGTGCATCGTGGACTCCACCTTCAAGTTTATTGAAACAGACTCGAATTTGCAGCCTCATTCAGACCCCAAATCTAAACGATTTATCTTTAAAGCTTTTAGCTTTTTGGACAGCCAGACTCCGATCTACATTCACGCTGTTATAAAAGTCTGTAGTCTTTCGGATAACAGGTAATGGTATTATGATGTCATTATTGATTATATTCATTGAGCTATGTAGGCAGGCATCTTCATTGAGTGTAGTTGAACTCTTTTTGTAAACGTTAACACATTCAAAAACCATCTGTTTAAAGAATATTCAAAGTCGGCCTTCCTAAATTAATTTTCTTCCGTAAAAGTAAAATAAAATAGAACCTTTTCCATTTCCCGGGAAGTTAGCTCAAGGATTAATCTTTAGAATATGTGTTTACTTCATCAATCATTTAATTATCATTTTATATACTCATTTTATATAACTCGACTGTATCCAATCCTTATGACTTTATTCATAATTCATCAACACTTTCAGTTTTGGCTGTACAGACTTGTGCTTAAAAAACAGACGGAAGAGATTCGCTGAAGTATCAAGTGATCTGAACGGTGAACAGTTCCACATTTATCAAGGACCGATAGTGCCTAGTCATCCCGTTGAAATCAGAGGTGAGATAAAAATTACAATTCTGATCCTGAAATTATGGACAGAAAAGTGAATTAATGATGATCAGTTCTGGTGAAGTTTTACCGGACTTTATGACACTATAAACTTATAAACTTATAAACTTCTAAAGCTATAACATTTCAGTTCCGATGACATTTACCAAAACTTTTGTAGAAGATCAGAAGTTAAACAATGGCGAGGAACTGATTTTAGATGTACATGTGATTGCTAAGCCGGTTCCAGAGAGAGTAACTTGGAAGCTTGATGACACTGACCTTGTGGATAATAAGTAAGTTTTGTCCGTAATCATGGTAATGAAATTCAATATTAAATTGGATCGAATTTTAATCAAATTGCACATATACAATTTTAAACTCAAAATAACATGATACATTTCATCAGTGCCTAGTTTTTGATGTTGCTTATATATCCAGATTCCAGGGTACTACTTAAAAATTAAGTCTTATTATTGATACTCTTGAAGAAATTAAATTCCATTTATTATCAGGGCCACTATATTCATTGAGGAATCTTTCGACCCAGCAACCTACATCACAACGTACACACTGAAACTTGTAGACCTTACAGTGGAACAATCAGGAGTGATAACCGTAGAACTGACTTGTAAACTGAACGAAACTATATCTGATTCTATGACTCTCACTGTGCTTGGTAATATTTCTGGACACTTCTTGAGAGACCAGTCAACAGTAGGAATATTCCGACGTTAACACCCGATAAAAGTTTAGATTAAAAATATAAGTACAAACTTTAAAAAGTAACTCCAAATTTACCTAAAGAATTCAGAGATTTAATCTACATATTTTCAGATGAGCTGGTTTTGGGAGTTGGTGTAAAATTAGGACCTGGAATTTTGACCTTCTTCCTCCTGCTGCAGGTTCTGCTGTAGCACAATAAGGTTTATCAAGATGACTATATCGTAAACTGAGCTAACGTTAGCTATTGTAAATACTAAATAGACTAATGGGTTATGAACTAAAGAGAGTTGTTCATTGGGAAATTTTTAAATTATATTCAAATAATCGCAGAAAGTGAGGTGATTTTCTTTAGTGTAATTACTAATTCTACGCAGTGACAACGACACACCTGCCTACCAGTCTCTGTTATTTGCTACACTAGGATGTCAAACACTAAAGGGACGAGTGGGTAGACACAGGACTAATTTGTATGATATTATTGTGAAAAAGGACCTATTTAAGAGACAAATTTATTTGAAAAATGAAGATGATTTTACCAACTTAGTGAACTTAGCAAGAGATAGAGTAGGATGGAGGAGTTTATTTACTTTGAGACATATTGAACGAATGAGTCTTCGTAAGCGTAAATAGGCCAGCACTTTGCTGAGCCTCTTTAGGTGCTCTTTTGTTTATAAATGTTATTATATATATAATTACTAATTAACAACAATTGTGATTTATATCACAGTTTAAACATCATACAATCAACAACAACAATGATATAATATTTTTTAAAATGTTTTTGATGTGGTGTATCATGTTATGTTAACGATAACAATAATTTGTTTTCTATTTCAAACGCGTTACATTGATTGATTAATACAACAGTGTAGACTATAATTATGATATATAATTGTGATACAAATTTGTATTATAATCGTGTATTTGACCAGTACAAAGTAACTTTATAGAGATATTACGTTTTACAGAATGCAGCTATTTCGTTTTCCTCTGAATTTCAGGAATCAACTAATCAACTAATCGACTAATCAACTAATCAACTAATCAACTAATCGACTAATCAACTAATCAACTAATCAACTAATCAAGCTGAAATTAGTTTATTCAGCGAACAATTTGACAGCCGACTCCGATCCTATCTATTAATTTCGCCAACGCTTGGATGCCATTCGCATATCAACGGAAACTAAATCGTAACAATCTAAAAACAGTTTACAATAAAATCGAATTTAAAAATTAGTGTATAGTAGAAGTTTAGATTAAATTTACATTGAACTTGATTAAACATAGACAAAGGACATTCGCCAACAAAATCTTCTGAAAAGGTCAACACTCATAACAAAATAAACGTTTTAGTTAACAATACAAAACCATTTAAAACGTGCCATTTAAGGAAGATTAATTCTGACGTTTATTCGCTTCACGACAATCTGTAAGAAACTAAAAATATGATGAACCAATCCCGGTGTTTCAAGATAATTAGGGAAATAATTTCTCGTGACTAGATATACTCAGTGAATATAAATATGTTGTCTTAGATTAAGGCGACAGTCTCATGCCACCTAAAAATATATTCCAAGAAAGGCGGGGTGGATTCAATTCCTGGACAACTTAATTCAGTTAAAACTTAACAGTTACCCACATATTAATTATCATGTTTGGCTGACAGGAATCCCAATTCCCAATCCTCTGACACTTTTATTTTAGACATTAAGTTATTTGTTCCACATCAATACAGAATTTAATTGATCGAACGTCCCGGGTTCACCTCAATTTCCAGTCCATTATTAACTTGTCCATTCTCACTAGTGCTCACATAATCATCAGGACTGAGTAACTCATCATCGTCTACTTCCTGCTGGTCTTCTTGAAGAAGTTCGGGGTCCATGTGGTCCGGCTCACCCTGCAGTCGTGCTAACCAACCGTCCCATCTGAACACGTTAATTATGTGTTAATTAGGTATTAATTAAATATGTGGATAATGAGATGGACCCTTGAAATACACCCAAGAGATATCGGCAGTTTTTGATTTTGAGATTTTAAATGGGAGTGCTTAAAAAACAAAATCAGAGAAATGAAACTGATGACACTGCACGCAACCGTGGGAGAATAATATGAGCTTACAGAGTGAGTACAAGAGCAACTGCCTCCAATACGACGAGAATGGTAAACGCAAATCCCGGGAACCACTTCCTGGTATACAAATAAACTTGATATAATCCTACTGATGATATCAGAGTGGCCAGGGACTCGAAACAGTTCAGCAACATAAACAACTGAAATGAGAATTTGATAAAATATGTTCTGTTGAGGAAAAATATGAGATTTTGAATCTCTCCCACGTACCTCCGAATTAGTTATTAGTTACCAATTAGTCAGCTAATCATATTCCTAATTACCGTAAAACTAACACATTCTTTCTCGTATATAAAAGACTACAAAACATGGCACTCTGACAAGTTTTACAAGTTTAATTGACAAGTTTTACAAACCTGACCATACTGGGTCGGTTTCACAACTTTAGATAGTCGAGATCTGTACAAAGCCAGCGCTACGCCACTGCCCCCTTTCAACAGGTTCGCTGGAGATACAATGATCTGTCGTGATATGTCATAATTAATCAATTAATATATTAATCTATAGATAACTAATTTCTATTATTTATACCACACTTCGTTAATAAAAACATACTAAAAAACGATATATCCGAGCTATTCAATGCTTGACCTATCATGGAAAAAAAGAATTATGCACCTTATTATAAATTCAATTTTAACTACTCACTATATTTATTATATAATATGTATATGTATTATATATTATCAATTAATATAGCTGCTGCTACCTACCAAGTTATATAAACCCATTTTAAAAAGATGTCTCCAAACAAGATATGATTCCGTTAAAAATGGTTTTTTACCGGACAAAATTTAAATTTTAACTTGACTCAGCGCTTAGAATTAAGACTAACTCAGTTATCAACAATATCAGCATCGATAAAATTATCTTTAGTCGTGAATTCTGGCGGGGAGGTGAGGCATATTTTTTACTCGTGACAGCAATTAACCAATCAGCTTCCACTATTGACCAATAAAACCGGGCAGAATCACTCTCACGTGTAAAACAAATATGCCTCACTTCCTCACCAGAATCCGCATCCATAGATACGAAAACTATACTTAAGTCGAAGATAATATAATTATAGATTAAAAGAGAAGAGCACAGTACCCACCAACAGTCATGAGGGTAAAGCTCCTAGCAATCGTGACCACTCCAAAACCCAAACAACACATTCCACAGGAGATAGAGGCGATCAGGGTCTCAGGTATTCTTGCCATCTTCATGAAGGGAACTAGTATCACCATCAGGAAGTTAGCTATACTTGATACTGAAAATAAGAAATGAATAGACTTTCAGATCCTGAGGGCGATATCACGAGATTTAATTTGTTGAAACTTGAATAAATTGTGATATGGTTGAAGATGATAACTTTCTTTGAACAACAGATTTTATTTTAGATATTTTTTGTAATTCCGCCGAGGACTCCACAGAATACTTATAGTTTTGGAAGGTGATCCAATTAAAACTTGTTTCATACTCACTGGAGGAGATGAGACCAATTTTGTCGGCAGGCCAGTTGAATGGAGGCAACAACAAGTAGTTAACAAAGAATCCTGCATAAGAGAGGAATGCGGTAAAGTGGAGCAAATATGCAGCTGAGAGAATGTAAATTCTGGCACGATATCTGGATGGTCCTGTATAAACGTCTACCATCTGTGAAAACGCCTGTAAAAGTAACGGTCAGATGAAGGAGATGGAGATACGGGGCTGATGATTACGATATCCTCATTTTAACATTTTATTATTATTATTAATTATGATTTAACAGGATTGTGCACACAATACATTAATGCGGTAATCCTTATCAAATTCATTAAACGTAGTGAGTGTTCATTCTAAGATGGTATTCAATACACATTTATTCCTCCCTAGTCTCCCAATCAACATCCTTTCAGATTCAGTACCTAATGATTTATTCGAGACCTCCCTAGTCTCCCAATCAACATCCTTTCAGATTCACTACCTAATGATTTATTCAAGACCTCCCTAGTCTCCCAATCAACATCCTTTCAGATTCACTACCTAATGATTTATTCGAGACCTCCCTAGTCTCCCAATCAACATCCTTTCGGATTCACTACCTAATGATTTATTCGAGACCTCCCTAATCTCCCAATCAACATCCTTTCAGATTCACTACCTAATGATTTATTCGAGACCTCCCTAGTCTCCCAATCAACATCCTTTCAGATTCACTACCTAATGATTTATTCGAGACCTCCCTAGTCTCCCAATCAACATCCTTTCAGATTCAGTACCTAATGATTTATTCGAGACCTCTGTAGTCTGTAGTCTCCCAATTAACATCCTTTCAGATTCACCACCTAATGATTTCGATCCTCCAGTATTAGTATAATGATCATCCCCTTCAAGTAAATTTTTTGTTTAAAATGGTCCTTAAATGCTTAATGAATGAAGCTGCCACCATGCGTCGAATAATTTAATCGATCCATCTCAAAATTGATAGAAGATCAACTTGTTCCAAAGGATTTGTGGCCAGAAGAAGGCCGGTAATACTTATGTTCGGAACATTAGTTCATAGCATAAGTGTATCCGATATGGTTTACAGATCCAGTCTTAATTTAAAACTTTTAATCATAAAAAATCATCGCTATTTAAACGAATTCGTAGCGCTTATAGAACTACTATAACGGTGCAGACTACAGAAGCATGCAATACACTAATACAGTAAGGTGATCCAATAAGAAGGCGCTTCACCCCTTGCAAAGGCTTATAAAGTGGAGTTGTTACAGAGGTGTTCCCTCTTTCTGTCGAGGTGGTACAGGTATCCGTAGAGCAGTATGTTGGAACCTCCTTTCCGTACTTGGATGAAATCGATAGTATGAGAAGACGGGGAACAGTAAAAAGTAACTCTGTTTATAACTAATTAGCTGATGGATTCATTAACTAATTAACCAATTTAAGCTGAAACCCGAAACGTAAACACTTGGTTCAAATCAATCAATACTTGATTCGCAGCATAAGATGGCGTTCGAATGATCATCTCGAATAGCGCGACAATCTTAAAAAACACGAGCCTGTAAATATGTACACGTGGGGTGAGTCTGTGAATGTCATTTCATTCGCAAGACGATATTAAATTGCTAAATGCTAAGAGAAAAGTTGGCATTAACTTACTTCCTTGAAACTGACGGATTCGGATTTCGGCTCTTGGTTTCTTTGCTCGTTGAGGATCTCTGATGACAAAAAGCACGTAGAAACCCAGGCACAACTGCGAATATAATCGAATTATTGAAAAAGTTTAATCTGAATATTTGTTAAAATGGGCTTATAATCTACGAGGCCCTCCTTGCTCGCCAACTTTTGAATTATAAATATAATGTACAATATTAGACTGCAGATAACCGGATTGTTCAATGATGAAACTGAATTAATTGAAAATGTATCCAATTATGACTTATGAGTGCAGAAGTTCGACAGAACTTTTGTACGTGTCCAAGAACTGTCTGTGTAGTGCGCGGAATTAATCCTCAGGGTGCGTTGAACCTAAGCACGTGTCGAACAGTATGTATACCCTCCACACTCCTAAAGTCCTAATTAGAGTTTAACACTATCGTTGTGCGGTTTATTATGTTCAGTGAAATAAATACAACTCCCTGGGATTATTAAAACTGTGCATGTGCAGAGATCATTTATTGAGCGGGACGGATAAAAATGCCGCCCCTTTCTTTCTATCCCGTCCCTTGCAGTATTCCGTAATTTTTCAAAAAGGAGCAAAGTTATTAGCAGTTAGTACCTTACCACCAAACATGTAAATGAATAAACTCGTTATGCTTCATATCTCGGACATATGAGAAGCTAGAACTCTCATTTTTCAGGGGGGGGGGGGGGGGGGGGGGGGGGGGGAGGTCAAGAGTATTTTTGAGAAATTTTTAATCTGAGAATTTTACCATTTTTACCGGGAATACTCAAAAATGTTTCAAAAATTATTTTTGAATCTGAGAAATTCAGGATGGTTTCTTATTAAGTTATAAAAGTACATTATCAACCTACAATCTATAATTTACCTAGACTGAACACCGTGTCGTGAGGGATGTAAAACTAAAACCATCCTTTCCATGTGACAGTCTTTAAGCTTTTCGTTCGATAACTCCAACAGCCCAACAACTAATAACTATTTTTTTCATGTACACTGTACAGTAAAACCCCCTATGCCGGGCTTGTCGGATGAAACGAAAAATAAATGATACAGAAAGAACTAAAGAACTTGGTATAAGAAAGATGACGCTAATCCCCAGTATCTGTCAAGCGTCGAGCGTATTGGCTATGCCCCGCTTACTAGTTTAGCTCTTTCTAGTCCCCTGCTACACGGCATGTAAACAGGGATTAGCTAGTTAGAGGCGGTCCGTGTAGGCCTTACACTGTGCTTTCAGCAATACTCATTAGTTTAGTGGCAGTGCACGTGTATTGTGGTTACAGTGTCGTATTGGGGGGGGGGGGGGGGGGGAGGGGAAGGGGGGTTCACATTATAGAGATAAACACGGTATAATAGAGGTTTACTGCACTCTTAAATCTAAATTACTATTAACTACTAAAACAGTAAAAGGGCATATATAATTAATCGGCGCTATCTTGGTCCAGCTTTGTAGGTTTATAACCTACCAGGACGCGCGCCGAGTTGGACTCGTCGACGGTCCTGTCGAAACAAATATTTTACGAGTATCACCCGTTAAGGTCCAGCTTTACGGTAAATCTCGATGATGTCTTAAACGAATTATTTTTGCTCTAAAATAGTTCCAAAAACACTCATAGAAATTATAGTCCAAAGTGTCTAGAGATTATCCTTGTCAAAAACATCGTTGAAACTTTAATTTTAAATGAGTCATGAGTGAAAAATGTCAAATGATCTGATCTGTTTAACACACCCTGTATGTAAATTGTAAATGTTAGACTAAATTTAACACCAGAAAATTTTCAGGCCAATCTTTTGGCAGTAAGTTAACTTTTTCATCTGTTCGTTCAACACTCAGGGGACTTCTGAGGAGCGGAGTTGTCATTTACTAATAACTGTTTTGAGTTCTGTGCGGACGAGAAGAAGATCTAGACTAACGGTGTAGCACCATCTGGGTACTGAGGTTACTGTCCGGTGTCCGCTTCAATATATATATTTACGTGAGCAACTACGTTGTTATGCGAAGAGAGTCGTTTGTTACTTAGTAAACTATGATATTGAATTACAAATTTGACCATCGAATGAGGTATCTTACCAGAAGTAAAATTCTTATTCTCCATTGAGGTAGCCCATTGTTTAAACTTCAAACATTCAATGAGCCGCGTTCAAAGCAGTCTATAAAGCTTAAAGCTACCATCATTTGATATTTTTATCTATTCACATCGTTCAAGCTGAGAATGAAGCTACAACTTTCTCAACTCCTGTTCCTGGGTCTCCTGGCCGCACAAGCTCTCTCTGTCCACTACCAGCTGGATGTCGTTACTGGATCTCGGAAGTACGACGGCACTGACGGTAGCTTTGTAGCGAAGGTAAAAGGAACCAATGGCGAGGTAGTGTTTGGTGTACTAGACGACCCATCGAAGAATGATTTCCAGTTGGGAGCAACTGACAACTTTGCAGCCGATTCAGACATTGACATCGGTAAAGTGAAGTGCGTGGAAATCGAAGCTAAATCAGATGACGCGTGGATGGTGGACTACATAACCAGTGATAACAGTGACTGCTGGCTCGGAGAAGACATACGTGTACAACACTGACGGGAGCTATCTGCCCTCAGATACAAGTGAAGGAATGGATAAGATGAGCTTTTGCAAGCAGGGGGATGCAACCTACGTTCTTGCGATCACGACTAAAAATGAGAATCACGCCGGCACGGACAACATCCACGCTAGACTGACAATTAGCAGCACTAAAAGCAGGAAGGGGAACACCACCACAGGGATCCTGGACAATAAAGGTAAAGACGACTTTATTGCCGGAGCAACAGACACCTTCATCCTGCCCAACCTAAAGAACATTGGAAAAGCTGGCTGTATCTTCATCACTGCTGCTCAAGATGATGCTTGGCTGTTTGACGAGATTAAAGTTACACGAGGTAAATCTTCCCGGACTTTCAAGAACAAGGAGAGCACGTGGCTGTCATCAGACTTACGAGAGGGGAAGGACGAACTTGAGATTTGTTATTAAGTGTTTAAGTAATGAACAGTGGACTAGTAGTATGCATTTAAGCATTTGGTTAATTCCATGTTAGCTTTAATTGAGTTTAGAATACATTTTCAAAAATTTTACCATGAATTTCAAAATCATGCAACTTCGCAGTTTGAATTGTCATCGAATTGATGAAATCTTTTAATGCAGCACCATATCTCAGATATGCACATATAAAAACATAGAAATAAATCAGCAATGCGCGCTAGGACAGTAACCCTTATAACAAAAAGAATGTGTGAAAAAGTGGAAAGTCTAGATTTTAAAGAATCAATAAATCTAACACTCAGCTCCGTTTTCTTTCACTTTCGGTGAATCTACAATATGATCCACCATAAAGTTCTATTCTTGAACTTCTCTCCGCTCACACACGGACTACTACAAAATGTTACATTTGAGCTCAACTTGGCGCCCTTCTTCCATCCCATACAAAGATGGCGACCATTATTTCTGAATTCGTTATAATCGTTAATTTTTCATGATATGCTAAATGTTTATCTCTGTCACCTACACTGTTTTATGGGTAATCTGGGAAGTGCTCAATAGTCTTCATCAGCTGCGGTCGGCGTCAGAAGTTTTAACGGGTGATACTCGTAAAATACTTGTTCCATATATTACCGTCGACGAGTCCAACTCGGCGCTCGTCCTGGTAGGTTATAAACATACAACAGAAGTTCTACAAATCATGTGGCCCATGATCGATTTGATATATTTAAGGGTCTCACGTGAATTTGAAGGGATTAAGTGAGGTGGCAACGTTCGATATTTCGTCTTGGTAAGAACTGTAAATATTTGCAAATTTCCAGTTCGGCTTATAATTGTCAGACAACGGATGATAATTAATCACTCTACACTCGACTGTCACGTGACAAAAACGCCGTGATTTCATTGGTTAACCTGATAACGCGCCGCAGATCTCTATAAACACAAATTATTCATCGCGCGTGCAGTAAACTCAAATTAAGTCCTAATTTGTTACCGAAATTCAGAAGGACTTTCGTCAAAACTGTACCATAATATGGATTGGTCGAAAATAGAGTCTTTTAGTGGATAACTTAGAATATATTTTCGATTTTCTCAAGATCTGACTGATAGATTTTCTTTAAAAACTTTTTAGATGGTTACATGGCTATATGACGAATAATGTGTACGAGTTTGGGAGAATTTCTATGTGCCAAACTTGAGATAGGGTAAAGCACATAATTTTGTCATTTTTTGGCAATTTTCCGACTGCCTGATATAAACCATGGGTTTTAACCTCGTCTGAAATTCCGATTTAGATGAAACCTCCACCATGTTATAGTAGACAGTCTAGGCAAGTTCTAACACAAAAATGATCGAAATTGCTGGTGTTGAAGATGTTCAAAAAAATTATTTTGAAAAAATGACAAAATTAGGTGACTTTACTTAATTTTGTCACCCCGAACCTAATTTTGTCACTTAAGATTGTGCAAAAATTAACCGTTTCTCGGTATTTTAGACTACCTGGATGCATCATTCGAGCGCTTTTTTACCAACATTGACCTCAAAAATCCCAAAGATATGATGTTTTCATAGTTTTGTAGCTTGATGAAAAGATGACACTTTTTGGGTATCTAATCTTGGAAAATAGCCCCCAAATGCCCCTGAAACCACTGGCATCTTGAAAACTTTCTATGAAGCATGAATCAATATTGGTTACTGATTCACGAAACTATATTTACCAATAGCTCTTTAAAACCCAGAATTACAGTATATTTCTCGGCGAAAATATGCTATTATTATAAGTGTTTAAATGCTATTATAAGTGCCTTATACATATCCTATGGGCAAAAAAACTTCAGAATAGTTGTATAAGGCCATTTTCAACACAATCTGTGATTTACAAGAAATTTGAGAAAGGTCGATTTTTTTGACAAAATTAGGTACTTTTGGCAAAATCGAACCTAATTTTGTCACCCTCTGTTACTTGAACAATAATTGCGCTAGAGACTTGAAAATTTGTACGTATACTTCTGCTGTAGAAGATATTTGAAATATGCAATGGCATGAAGCTAGCTCAATTACTTTTG